CGACCTGAATGCAGATCTACTTAACAAACTTGACCGCCTTTTGAATACCTGCATTCGATTCGTCTTCAACCTGCGTAAGTACGACCATGTCTCTGCATTTCGATTGCAACTAAAGTGGTTGCCCATACGTCAGCGCAGGGAACAACGGGCGCTAACCACTTTATTCTCCCTTCTTAATTCTCCCAATTCTCCTACTTATCTTTCCTCATATTTCCAGTATGTGAGCGCTAACCATAGCAAATACCTCCGTTCTTCTAATAATCTTCTGTTACAATGTCCCACACATCGAACTGACTTCCTTCACTCTTCTTTTTTCGTCCAATCCATCTTGCTGTGGAATGCGATGCCGACGGATATCAGGACGGCGACCAGTCGTCTGTCCTTCAAATTTAAGGTTCGTGAGTATCTACAGAAGAGGCTAGCAGACTCAACACACACTTAGGTCTTGTACGTATTTACATATATGTATGTGTATAATTATGTATGTATATATGTTATGTTATGTATTTTCCTTCGTATATTTAGGTATATATATATCCCATACTTATTTGTCTACTGTTCGTTTTGCATTACGTATATATTTTAATACTTCTTCATTATATTTAATTAGTATATATTGTGTGATATGTATAATTATATATGATGTTAATGTTAATGTTAATTATTGTGTCACTCTAATAAGTGTTAAACGTTTACACCTACTATTGTATCTCTCTGCACCACCCCAAGGTTGACTGTTAGAAAATGCCACTAGGCATTAAGTCCGCCGTTGTATATCTACAAAAAGTGTAAATAAATAAATAAAAATAAATAAATGATATTACGACCATTCAATAATATTTGTTGGCCGAGTTGGCCGATTGGTCGCAAGTGCGACTGCCGGGCAAGGGGTCTCGGGTTCGATTCCCGGGTCGAGCAAAACATTACTGGGTTTTTAAAAATCTCAGTAGTAGCACGGAGTCTGGAAATGTGCCGGTATATGGCAATAGGCTCACCCCCTATTACGTAGGACTCATAACATAAATAGTAAAAAGTGGGTGTTACATTGTACAGTGGCATAATGTGCACCTCTGCCTACCCCTTCGGGGATAAAAGGCGTGATGTTATGTTATGTCAATAATATTTGTACTTCTCGTTAGTTATGTTATTTAAGGTCCAAGATACAATAAGTGTGGGAGAGTCATGCTTCGCCTACGCCTCCCTTCTCCAATCCCTGAATCCCCAACAATCGTCAAATTCCTAATCCCAAAAAGCCGGTGACTCACTTGTAACGCCTCTGGTGTTCGAGGTATCCATGGGCGACGCCGATTGCTTATCATCAGGTGATCCGTCACATCGGTTACCGGTTTATCCCATAAATAAAAATAGGTAACTTCCATATATACCTCCTAAATTGTGATTATTTTCTATAGACGTCTAGCACGTTTGGAGTTCGAGCTGCCAAGAGACCCGGACCAGCAGAAGGAGGAAATGCTGGCAGTCACTGAGGAGGAACACTACCGGTATATCTCGCCTGACGCACTCGAGAGAATCGACTTCTATCTCAGTCAGGTAAGCATATACAACGTTTGGACCTGGCTGGGTTTGGAAATATTATGACACTTTTATTATCGTGTTACGAGGAACACATTACAGCCTTCTTTCATTAGTTGTACGTACAAAAAAGAAATATAAACTTAGCAAAACTTATTACTTAAACTTCTTGCTTTATTATTATCACTACCATCACAAATCGAATGTAACAACTGGTGAACTTAAGCGTCCCGCCTAGAGAGGGAGAGGGAGACGGGGGTGGGGGGAGGTTACTACATATATTTCTTACTGCAATCAGGTGATTTGAGGGTCTTAGAATGCGGTGTGAGTTCACGGCGCTTATCTTCAGCACCAGTCAATATGCCTCCTCACACAACTATATAAGAAATGTATTTGTCCAGTCGCTATCAGGCAAGCAGCTCCCCGACTATCCGGTGGAGCTGTACAAGCGCGCCAAGCTGGCCGTGGACAAGCAGACGGCCGGCATCAAGAAACGCATGCTCATCCTCACCTGGCAGGCCAATGTCCGCCAGAGCGAGGCCGAGATACGGGAATTCTTTGTTATGGCTATGAAGAGGTTTGTGTTCGATAGTGATGTATCTCTTTGCATCTCATAGCATAGTGTTAAAAAGAAGTAGTTAGTAACTAGTAATATCGAGTATAAAATTATTTTAACGATACCGTATTGCAATCACACAGATGTTTTAATAGCATTTTTCTCTTGGTTTACAAATTTTTACCTTGCAAGCTATAACTTCAAAAATATTGAAATATGTTATATCAAATATGGGGGGTATGAAAAAATACTACGCAAAAATAACACATATGCATTAGCTGCACTTTACGCTCATCAAAGAATTGTTTTGAAAAAGTTTTGTACCGAAGACTTGATTACCATCCGGCGCGGTCCCAGATGCATCCTGCAGTACGTGCTGGAGGACGGCGCGGAGCGCGCGCGCCTGCAGGTCCCGTTCCTGCCGGCGCTGTGGCCGGCGCTGGCGGTGCGCGCGCCCGTGCCGTGGCACACGCCGCTCGTCAAGGCGCGGGAGGCGCTGTTCCACCGGTACTGCCTCGGGAACCCCGTGCTGCTGGAGCTGCGGAGGATGTGGCATCAAAGGTCACTTCTCTCTACTGCATACATTCTAGCACTCGATGGTGATGTCTAAATTACATTTAATGCCCTTCCTATTGGAAACAGCAGTAACTTTTTTCACTATAAACATATTGTAAAATACCAACGTTTTGCGCAAAATCACGAATACAGTATAGCGCGAATGCTCAAAGTTTTGTTTCTGTTCAACTGTACACAGGCCCCGTTAAGTGGACCGGCCAGGGTGTACTGTCACAGAGTACCTACCAGCGTGAACCGGTGTCGTAATGTAACTGCATTTACTCTGGTAAACCAGAGTTACGAATGTCGATTGCAACCTCCTGTACCCGCCATCGTTTTCAGGAGCCCTCCTCGATTTGTTACTTATAAATAAAATAAAAATATATAACTTATCACTTTCAGATACCAAAACATGTTCATAGTAGACATGGAGAAGATGCAGGCAGAGGTCCCCTTCCCTCAGTACACGAATGAGTTCACGGAGAACCTTAACAAGCTCTGTGCGGAGACCAGAGCCGAGCTGGAGGAGAACTGGCTGATAGACGTCGCTGATACTATGATCAAGATGAGGCATCACTGGTCAGGGTATGTCGCCAAGAAGAGGAACGAGTCTACTTCCAGAGTTGAAAGCTTTTTCAGGTTGGTTTATACACTTGGCAAGGAAACGGAGTCACAAGCGTATTTTTTATTTTATCAATACCTCCAAATTATCCTTTTAACAACAAAATGCCCTCATTTTAAATGAATTTTGTTTGACAGTTTTATATGAATTTTGTACGAGATTGTGTATTGTGTCGACACATTTTTTAGCGTCAAACAGCATAGTTATTTCTTAAAAAAATGCTGGATATACAATTGAAATTAAGTTGGTCATAAAATCAATAAACGAAAGTGTGATTATTTTATAATATTGAATATAATATTTTTATAAGATCAAGGAAAGTACTCAATTGCCTTTCATACGACATACGTTGCCAATTAATAAAATACTAGTATCAGAAATAATTATCAAGAAATGTAAAAGAAATGCTAGTGGCTCCACTTGTTTGCTCCTCACTTCCCAAGTATACTATTAAGGGACTTGACTTGACATATTAAAAGTTTTATTTTCTTGTCACAAGTTTTTATACTCATAAATACAAATTATTTTACTCTATTAAATTACAGGTGTATCCGTGCGCTGATGTCCAACCAAATGCGAAACCTTGTGGAGAGGAGTGTCGCGCACTTCGCTAAATATTTATGCTCTTACTCGGTAAGTCATAGGCTACAATACTCGACTGTCGCAACCGAGGGCTGGACTCGCTGCCATTGCAGCGGTAAGTCCCCTCTTTGAGGAGTGGTTTGAGAGACGCTACGGCGTCCTCACCCACCGCCTGACGCAGGTTCTCACCGGACATGGGATTTTCGGGAGGTACCTGTGTCTGATGGGGCGGGAGGAAACGCCCGGGTATAATCACTGCGAGGACCGCCCTGAGGACACGGTGGAACACACAGTGGGAGAATGCCCTGCGTGGGCTGAGCACCGCCGTGCCCTCAGGGAAGTGATCGGCGATGGCGACCTCTCGCGTCCGGGCCTAGTGCAGGCCATGATGCGGAGCGAGGGGGACTGGGATGCCGTCTCCTCCTTTTGCGAAGCAGTCATGCTAGCTAAGGAGGAGGCGGGACGCGTGAGGCAGCGAAGCGCTGCCTCCTCGCAACCCAGCCATCGCGAAGGACACACCGGGCGTCGGGGATCGCGGGACGATCTCCGGCCACCGTAAGCGCGGGCCTGCGGACGGCGAGCATGGGTGGCTCCCCGTCCGACCAGAAACAGACCCGAGCGTACGGCGCGTCGCGTTCCGCGCGCGCCTCAAAGAGCCATCAGACCACCACAGATGGGGCCCAATAGGGCCGATGCCGATTCGGAGTCGCGGAGAACCTAACGGGTAACCGGGGCTCCGGCTCGACGTGCAGGAGAAGGAACGGGGTGGTTTTTAGTCAGTAAGAGTCTGACACTCCCTCCCGCCTCACCCAGGCGGGAGCAGTCATTCGATGATTTCCCCCCTTAAAAAAAACAAAAAAAGAAGGCTACAATACTCATCGTCAAAATTATCATCGTTAACAAAATATTAAACTGTCAAACACCAAGCGGTCAGCGGTGACCGCAACCTATTGTTCTATAATTGTGTCTATAATGACGGTACTCGACGAGTTAATTGCTGAACTAAGGTTGTTGTCTAATCTAATTTGGACATACCAGAGTCTAAATATAGGCAATAGTCTTCTATAATGTTGTCATTTTTTTTGTATTCTTTGGTGACTTATTTTTTGCCTCTCGTCTCCAGGAAGGCAACACTTACGAGGGGCCGTATCGCGACTACATGTTTATAAAGCGCCCCATAATCCGAGTGAAGGTAATTGCCCACCCTGGCACCAACAACATCACCTTTGAGCCTGGCCTCGAGAGCATCAAGACCATTGTCATCAAGTGGTTCCAGGCCATCATCAACGTGTCCCAAGCACTGGCTTCTGTTGATAAGATTATGTATCCCAGTAAGCCCCGAGTTCTTTCTACTTGTTAAAAATTTAATATCGTTAAGAAAATGCAGGGCCATTTTATTTATTTATTTAACTTTATGCAATTACATAGGCAGGCTTAATGCTACAGGCATTCTTACTAGCCAACCTTTAGGTGATGCAGTGAGAGCGTGGTCGGTGCAATAAGTTGAAAATTTAGGTGTATCTAATATAGTCTATAACACGGCCTCACAGAAGACCGACGTGAAACAACGTTGTGTTGTGTTTCGTCGTGTGAGGGAGGTTACCGGATACCCAATTACACCCCCCCCCCTTTCCCCAATCCCTGAATCTCCAACAGTCCTCAAATTCCTAATTCCAAAAGGCCGGTAACGCACTTTTAAACGTCTCTGGTGGTCCAGGCGTTCATGGGCGACGCCGATTACCGTCTGCTCGTTTAGCGGCTTATACCATAAAAAATATACCTATATCAATATCATAAAACTAGATAAACATGAGTACATCCTTTATCGTTTTTGGTTCTTTAAATAAAACCTTCTTGTAGTCGCACTGCCATTTATATATCACTCCCGTAAGTCAGTGATAGATTTTGATAACCAATTTTCTCTCAGTCGATAACTTGTAAAATCCTTTAGACGGTTCTATTAAAAATGTATTGTGAACATCATCTGCCGCGCCGGCGGTGGGTTGACTGGTGACATGATACAACTCTTTAAAGCATTTTACAAGTTGTTGATTAAAAGGAACTGACATTTTTTTTGTAGTATACCTGTTATCCTTTGTATAATATGTTGTATTGTTGACCCGCGCAGACACGCCCCGGCCGGAGCCGATGTTGATGGGCGTGTTCGCGGACGAGCGCTACATGATAGACGTCATCAGCGAGGCAGTGCGCCAGGTGTCCGTCAACAAGCCCGGCCCGCGCGCCTTCCTCGACAGCTACACCGACTACTTCTACATACTCAATGGAGAAGCCAAGCAGGATCTACTTGCTTTCTTTGCACAGGAACCACCGCCATTTTTGAAGGTATTTTACTTACGTTAATGATTACTTACCATTGCAAATATCTATATTAGTGTCAAGTCATATAATCACACTCATATTTATGAGCAGCGTGCATAATCCGTTGTCTCGTATATCTCACTTTTGTTTAGACTTTCTCTCGATATTAATTTCAACGTTGATAGACAAGTAAAACTTAACGTAGGTATATTATGTGGCGGCATATGAAAGCTTAATTGTATCCCTCGGTAGGACTTCTCAGCGCGCATCTACATGTACGAGAAGCTCCGCGACGAGATCCTGTTCCTCCGCCGCGACATCCCCCTCAACATGGTGATGTTGGACTGCGCGCCCATCAACGACACGCTCTGGGACATCGTCAACGGGCTGCGGGAGTACATCGTCGACCACTTCATCAATGTTAATCGGAAGTGGAATCGAGGGTAAGTTTGTTGGATTGTATTCTTTTTTTTTAGTGCAACAATGTAACAAGTGTAAACAATCCTAGCGTCATAGCTATTACGTCACACTGCACCTGATAAGCTACAAAGGTATGCGTTAGAAGAGAGCGCCAATGTTTAGTCGACGAACTCAGAAGGTATTGAGCGCGTGAGCGAGCTAAATTGCACTTTGTTGCTTAAACTGTCAAACACCAAGCGGACACCGGTAGCTAAGGAGGAGGCGGGACGCGTGAGGCAGCGAAGCGCTGCCTCCTCGCAACCCAGCCGTCGCGAAGGACACACCGGGCGTCGGGGATCGCGAGACGATCTCCGGCCACCGTAAGCGCGGGCCTGCGGACGGCGAGCATGGGTGGCTCCCCGTCCGACCAGAAACAGACCCGAGCGTACGGCGCGTCGCGTTCCGCGCGCGCCTCAAAGAGCCATCAGACCACCACAGATGGGGCCCAATAGGGCCGATGCCGATTCGGAGTCGCGGAGAACCTAACGGGTAACCGGGGCTCCGGCTCGACGTGCAGGAGAAGGAACGGGGTGGTTTTTAGTCAGTAAGAGTCTGACACTCCCTCCCGCCTCACCCAGGCGGGGGCAGTCATTCGATGATTTTCCCCCCTTAAAAAAAAAAAAAAAAAAAAGCGGACACCGGTGACCGCAACCTATTGTTCTATAATTGTGTCTACAAAACCGGTACTCGACGAGTTAATGAAAAGAGTCGCTATTTAAATGAGTTGTTTCGTAGAGAGGTGCTTCTGTATAACTACAGAAACTACTTGGGCACGATAACTTCTGTGCCCAAGTAGTTTGTAGTGACGAGTGGAGACTATACAGGAGACAAATAACTCTGTATAGTTTTTGTAAATGATATATTTATACATTTTCGGTGTGAAGTTACAAGATTTTCAGGAATAGCCGTGAGTGCCTATAATCATGAGAAAAATCAAATAATTACTCAATGGGGCATGAATTCGATTGAGAGAATAGAGTTGAAAGTTGTATGTGTTGTGTGTTTTACCTTCCATAAATAATTGGCTTGACATAATGTCATATAGGGCCAGACAAATGTCGACTTTCCAGACCTGCAAGTATCTTGATAAAAAATAGCAATATGTATGTATGTATGTGCAGTATCTGCAACATATACGAGGACATGGCGGCCCGCGCGTCCGAGACGCCGGAGACCACGGCGCAGCTCGTGGAGCTCATCACGTACATAATGGACTGCCGCGACAGTGCCATGTTCGACCTCCGGGAGAAGGCACGCACCACTGCGGAGTACGTGCTCTTCCTCATGCAACATGCGCATCTTACCTGTGAGTCTTTGTGGAGGGGTTTCTGATGAAGTAGATACTACTAGTAGTAGGCATAAGAATACTCTTGATTTATATTCCTGAAGAGTATATATAACCTGGGTGTCTTCAAGGCCCGAGTGAATAGGTTGCCTATGGGTCGAAGTGCTCCATCGTAGACCGTGTCGTCGCTTACCATTAGGCGAGATAGTGTTCAAATGGCGACCCATCAAATATAAAAAAATGTATTCGTCACCGGAAAATAACAAAAACCGAAACTTTATAAATTTCCTAGGAAAATTATACACGTAATATTACCTAGGATTCTAAACAAAATGTTAATTGTATTATCATCGACCAATCAGAGAGCAGAGTGCTATTTTCCGTACTTTTTAAAAAGGCTTAAAATTGAAATATGTTCTGTGATCGTTCAGTTAGAATCGTAAAGAATTTTTGAAAGATACAATAACCTTGAACTGTCAAAATCCCGTTAACAATTCAAATATAACAATCCCTCCGCCAATATTCCAGTTGAAGATGTGAACCTGAATACCAGAGTCTTCCTCTGGCCCCTGGACATGGAAGAGACGATAGACCTGACATTAAAGACCCTCAACACCAAGAAGACCATGGCTGAAGACAAGCTGAGGAGTCGCAAGACAATCTTTGAAGATAAACTAAAGAAGCATGAGAAAGACTTGGAGCTGTTCCGAAGATTTGATCCTCCACTGTTAAACTTGGACTTGCTGCAGGATGCTGTTGAAAGGGTTGATGCCATATTCAGGAATTTGATGGTAAGCAAGAATGTCTTTGTCACTTTGAAAGTTAATATTTTGTTTGTTACTCATTCACGTCTAAAACGGTTTAAGGGATTCTAAAACGGCTATTTTATCGCACGGGAACGTGGGTGAAACCGTTGTCAGAAGCTAGTACTAACTGACTGTCCTAACTTTGGAATTAATACGTTCATATATCGTCCTATATATCCCCAAAAATTTGTTCATACAAAAGTATTCTCTAACTATCTGAAATAAGGTCTATAATGGAGCTAGTGGATAGTGGTCACCGGTGATCGCTTAGGGATTAAGCAGTTAACAATGTTTAACTTCAACAGGAAGACAAACATGAAGCGGAGTATATAATAAATGAAGAAACACTGCTGGACCAGGAGGTATCTGTCTACTACAGCCTGCAGACCATGATCTCAGGCATCGAACCCTTCCACAAACTCTGGCATACCGCATATGACTTCTACGACGGATACGAGAAGTGGTAAGCGAAATTAAACCGTTTTTAATGCAAAAATGGAGGATGCAGTCGGTTTTTTTAAATGTAGTCTATTGAAAATTACTGTTTGTACATTTTGTTATTGCTAAGACTATCATAAACGATTTTTTTATGTTGTTCATAAATGTGAACACATAAAAACGTAGCCTAAAAACTTGTTGGGTTCCTCGGTAAAATAGTTGACGTGAGTAAGTAATATTGTTAATTTAATGTTTAAACAGTTATGCTCGAATAGTTTCGAGCCACACCGGGGCCTTTAACTGGTACCAGAGCAATGTACGCGGCAAACTTAATTTTTAGTGAATCCTTAATGTTATTTGTGTCACGACATTTATTTAACATAACATAACATCACACCTTTTATCCTCGAAGGGGTAGGCAGAGGTGAATTTACGGCACTTAACCTTAACCTTAATCTTAAGACTCAATAAAAAACTCATTGTGTCTCGCGTATATCTACGCTCACGGCATACCATGGGCTAATGCCACTGTACAATGTAACACCCACTTTTCACTATTTATGTTAAGAGTCCCATGTAATAGGGGGTGAGCCTATTGCCATATACCGGGCACATTTCCAGACTCCGTGCTACTACTGAGGTTTTTACAAACCCAGTAATACTTTGCCCGACCCGGGAATCGAACCCGAGACCCCTTGCCGGCAGTCGCACTTGCGACCATTCGGTCAATGAGGCAGTCAGGAAATTTATTTATTATGAACATTACATATATCATACAGGCATATGTAATACAGTTGTTTATGGTTATTTATACAAACATCATCAAATATAGTCATGATCTGCAGGTACCACGGGCCCTTCGAAGGTCTGGAAGCGGAGCAGATAGCTGAAGACGTAGAGGCGTGGTGGAAGTTACTGTACAAGTTGGGCAAGCAACTCTACGAGTACCCGGGCGCTAAGCGGATTGCAGACATGGTGCGGAATAAAGTGGAGAAGTTCAAGGTGTTACTGCCTGTGCTCTGCGCTATTTGTAATAAGGTATGTATGTTCTTCTCCTCTTATAATATCTTCTGATTCACTTCGTTGCGGGAACCAAGACAGTTACTCATGTCCCTGGGACGCGCCGGACTTCAATGTTCCTGTGTTTTCATGGTTGTATCTACTGTAGATCCTGGCTTACAGGAGTTGCAGCGGTTTTGGGTGGTTGTGGTGGACTTGTCCCAGTAAAAAAAAGCTATGTATGTATTGCGTTCTGTTAAAAAACAAGTTCATTTTTCACTCTTGAAGCCTGCTTCGTTTAGTGGGAATGAGTACATTCAATTTCGAAGTAAAATGTTTTCAAAATAACTATATCGTGAGACATACTGAATTAATTAAAAATGACGTCTGTTTCTCGTGTAAATATACTGAAAAAAGCTCTACTAATTCCGAGTCACAAAGGTGTCGTAAGCCGTGAGTCTCATCGGGTAGAAGCATGGAGTCTTTATAAAATGTTAGTAGGCCTATTTCTTATTATCAAACAGGGAACTCACAGCAATACTAGTACAAGTGGTTGTTGTTATTTTTCATCGAATCTGACACAATTAATTGTACATTGATTTATAGAAAAGCTTTTTTGTAAATACATATTAAAATCCATGTTGCGCCTAAACCAATCCAAATTAATTGAGAGTGATGTTTTTAAAGCATTTGAAACAAGATAAATGTCATAAATGTCATTCGTGTTTCGTCAGGGTATGCGCGATCGCCACTGGGCAAAGATCAGCGAACTGATAGGCGCCGAGGTAGTGCACGAGGCGGGCACCACCCTGGCGGACATGGTGGAGCAGGGCGTGCACGTGTACGCGGCGCAGCTCGAGGAGATAGAGCAGTACGCCTCCAAGGAGTACGCGCTCGAGAAGGCACTCAACAAGATGAAGGACGAGTGGGTCGGCGTCAAGTTCGAGGTCGTGCCTTACAGGTCGGTGTCATCATCATCATATTAATCACAGGTCGTTCACTCCTGGACACAAGTGGACTTTTACATCTGCTGAATTATGAGCCCTTTCTATAGAACGGTTGTTAGTCAAAATCTTCTCTGTTTGGAGATCGCAGTATCAAAAAAACACAGGCTTATATATTAATGCTGCGGTTCGATCTCTGTTAAGTAAGTAATCCTTAGTTACGACACCCGCAGGAAGATTAGGGATACTATGGTTACAAATGAATTCTACTCTTACGGATTTTAGTCATTATAATAGCAAATATGTAATTTATTTTGTTTTTTTCCATTTCCCAGGGACACAGGTGTAGGTATTCTAACAGGACTGGATGACATTCAGCAGCTTTTAGATGACCACATACTGAAGTCTCAGACCATGCGTGGCTCTCCTTATGTGAAGGCATTCGAGGCTGACATGATCGCCTGGGAGGAGAAACTCATCAGCATGCAGGATATACTCGACCAGTGGCTTACGGTTAGCACATAATTCTAATTTTCATGGTTAAATAATTTAGTTAATGCATCCAGTTTCTGGAAGTCATTGGGGGAGACCTATGTTCAGCAGTGGACGTCCTGTGGCTGATATGATGATGATGAATGATCCAGTTTTTGCGTTGTTCTATTGTATTAAGAGCGAAATAAGGAAGTTATAATTTAGTGCTGCTTCAATCGAGACTTTCGTAATCAAGAGACCTACTGTCGAACAAAATTGGAACACTTTTAGAAACCCTCTTTAGCCCAAAGTTATACAAATAAACAAACAATCTATCCCACAGTGCCAAGCCACATGGATGTATCTAGAACCCATCTTCTCATCCGAAGACATCATGAGACAAATGCCGACGGAAGCAAGGAACTTCCGCGACGTGGACAAGGAGTGGAAGACTATCATGACAGCCACACAGAAGGACCCCATGGTCCTCCCGGCCACTGACTTCCCTGGCCTGCTGAAGACGTTAAAGTACAACAATGTACTCCTGGAGGACATTCAACGAGGACTTAATGATTATCTGGAGAAGAAGAGGCTGTTCTTCCCTAGGTTGGTTATAGTACATTATGGGATAAACCAGCAGACAGATCATCTGATGGTAAGCAATCAGCACAACCCATGCGCATCCGCATAACTGTGTGGCTAGTCTTTTAGGGTTTGGGGATGGGGAGGAGGATTGAGACAGAATTGTATTGCACGTAAAGTATTCTTGTAGTAATAATTATATATGTGAATTTTAGTGTGTAACATAGGTACTTTATGAACATTGATTAGACCTATTGTAAAAAAATATGAATGACAAAGGACCCAGAGTCCGTGGAGAATAAAAATTTATTATTAAAAAAAATGTATAGGTAAGGCAGTGTTATATTGTACTCTTTCAGATTCTTCTTCCTATCAAACGACGAGTTGCTGGAGATTCTATCAGAAACGAAGGATCCCATGCGAGTGCAGCCTCACTTGAAGAAGTGCTTCGAAGGTATCTACACGCTGGAGTTCAACTTCGCGAAGGAGATCGTAGGCATGGCCTCCTCGGAGGGAGAGTCCGTTAAACTGTCCTCTACCATACAGCCTGCTGATGCCAAGGTGAGGAGTTGTCGTGGTGTAATCTTTTGCTTGGTACTGATAAACGTAACGAGAATGTCAATATTGTTTTTGGTTGAGGAAATTAAAGGATTATATTTTGGTCAGAAAAACTATACGAGTATCATAAAGACGCTGATCAGATGCTGACATCTGGACTTATGCGTTTATGTGGCAGAAAGTATCCTAGTACTGAAATTAGGACACTTCGTTTCTATTAGGCATCTTTTAATAAATACGGATTATATTATCAACACAGTACCTTGTGAAACAGTAGACTGCCTCGTTGGCCGAGCGGTCGCAAGTGGTCGCACTTGCGACCGCTTACCGGGCTTAC